TCACGATCCTGTAGCTGAGCTAATATCGCCAACTAAAAAGCTAAAAATAAAAGCAGAAAACAGAGACAACAAATTTGTAGAGTACAGCTTCTCTCTGTTGCAGTAGTCCCCCTTTAGAAACACATGAAGAATCAGTCTGTTTGAACTTAAATTTTTAAAAATTTTCACAGATGGCAATGAGATTAGTTAGGACTAACTTAGGTGAACCAACGCCGGTTCCGGGAGATTACCATTTCTGATTTCTCACAAATCATCTGTTTATTAATCCAGTCTAAACCTTTTCTGGGTTTCAATGTCAGGTTCGAAGAACCAACTTTTGCCCCTTTCTTAAAATGAGAATGCTACCGAGAAAACACTGACTGAGAAGACCTGGTTTCTCATTGAGCTCTGCAACGAACTACCTGTGTGACCTTGGAAAAATCATCTCACTTCTCTGGGCCTCAGATTCCTCATCTGTAAAAACTAAGGCTTGTATTAGATGATTTGTCAGGATCTTTCTATCTCTAAAACTGCTTGACTTTGTGGGAAAGCAACAAAGAATTTAACTCTGATTTTTCTCTTCAGTCCCAATCTTAAAACTACACAAAAAGAATGTACACCGATGGTACTTATAAACTACAACACATTTTCACTTCAAAAGCATTTTCACCATAGGTGTCTACAAAAACCTTCTGAGAAAGCTTACACAGTACAAATGAAATTGCAACTTGAAATTTACAAAATTTTCTAAGTTTACTGGTCTTAACATGTTCAAAATATTGGGTGTGAAACTGATTTCCTTTAATGAACCCCAAAATCATTTGTTGGGTTTTTATTTGTTTTTGTTTTTTCTTTGATGAGGCAATTGGGTTAAGTGACTTGCCCAGAGTCACACAGCTAGGGAGTGTTATGTGTCTGAGGCCAGATTTGAACTCAGGTCCTCCTGACCCCAGGGCCAGTGCTCTAATCACTGTGCCACTAAGCTGCCCCAACCCCAAAATAATTTACATTAATGGTGGGGAGTTAGTTCTGAGTGTATTCCAGACATAAAGACAGACTGCTTAATAAGCAACTGAGAAACTATACAGAGCTTTTTCAATGACATCTCTCTAATCCATGTTACTATACAGTTTGATTGCCCTTTTTATTTCATTTATCTATATGCTGTATCAACATACTAGATTAATGTTATGTACAAAATGCAAAAAATGAAATTCTAGGAGTCCAGACAACAATAAAGAAGTCTATCACTAAGTCACTAAATATTTTATTAAATATCTATGACATTTCCAGGACCATCCTAGGTCACATGTTTTTTGAATGGAACTAACAGGAAGAGATCAAAAGAATCTGAGATCTGACCTGAAATTTACAAGTAGCACATGCAAAAATAACTATGTAACATTGAACTCTGTAATCATGTACCAATGCTAATGGAATCCAGGACTTGAGCTAGGGAAACCCGGAGAAGGCTATATTAGTACTTCCTAAACAATTACATAATTTTAGCAAGAAACGCTAAAATACTATCCTGCTTCAACAAACCCATGGCCTCAAAAGGAGCCCTACATAAGTAGCATTCCCCTTGGATTGTAATAGGTGGCTGTTTAAAATGTCCTTCGATGTCCAGGGTTCAGCACATTTGGTTTAAGTTCTAGCACACAACCTTGTAAGAAGTAAACGATCCCTTTCTAAGTCCAAATGTTCTATAATAAAACTTTGTTCCTAAGATGTAAAACAATAGGTAGAAATAGACTTTCTAGCTGTCTAACATCTTAGACTAAGCTCAGCACTCTATCAAGGAAGTAGTGCAACGCCAGCCACCATTCTTTCTCCCCCAAGAAAATACGTTTTTCCACCTAATTTCTTCCTTTGTCACATTTCTTCTACGAAAGTCCTTTTTTTGGGGAGAGAAGCTGGAGGGTCTGTACCCATGATTTCACCAGGGTGGGAGAAACCCTCCAGTCCCTGATCCAACCACTGTTGATTGGACAACTCCTCTGTAACCTAAGATACTTGCCCCTTGTCACAGAGCCCGCATGCGCCAGGGACAGGACTTCAGCTCAGACCGAACTCCAAGGCCAGCCCTCTCGGCACATGGTCACACCACCTTCTCGTGACTGTCCTTAGCGCAGCCAAACTTAGGGACCGCTTTTAAAAATAAAAAAAACCTATTATAGAAGTCTATAAACAACAATGAAAATGATTGTCACGGTAAACAATATTTTCTTCCCTGAAAACACTACAACAGATACTGATGTTCTTAAACCTAATTATAATAATTTCAAACTCCAAGAGAGAAATCACTAAATGGTATTTTCTCTTTGCCCCAGTGACCTACTGGTCACAATCACAATTTAAGAGTTGGAAGGGGTCTCAGTCCGACTCACCCACAAAAGGAATCACATACCCAAGGAAGTAAAAAACAAAAGAGAAAATATTTCTTGCAGCACTCTTGACAAAGTGGAATGCTCAACAATTGGGGAATAGCTGAAATAGCTACTGAAATAACATGAAACAGAATATTACTGACTCATAAGGAGTAATACAGGTAAGAAATTCAGGGAAATTTAGGAAGACTTACACGAACCCAACTCAGAGAAGCAGGACCAAGAAAATAATCTGCAGAATGACGATAATGTTTAGGAAAACACTGAAAAACATCAAAACTCTGATCGATGCAATGGACAATTGTGACTCCAGAGGACAGTGAAGTATATTTCACTACAACTGGCAGAGAGGTAATGGATTATAAACACAGAATAGGACATGCGCTGATTTGTTCTGCTAAACTATATTTTGTTACAAGAAACTGTTTAGTTTTGGGGGAAGGAAGGGTTATTGGGAAGTGACGGTGACTTAAAAAAAAAAATCAATAAAAACTCCTAAATTTACAACTGAATTTGTTCAGTGTGCTTATTTAGAATTTTTAAAATATTTTTGTTTTAAATCTTGGCTTAACTGAGTATCCTCCTTAAATTTACTAAAAAACACCTAAGCAGAACTATTAAAGAATATCAAGATAAAGGCAGCTGGGAGTTGAGTTTTGTTTTTGTTTTTTTAAAGCAAAACTGAATAGGGCTGGTAAAATTGCACCCAAGATAAACCTATTTTGCAGATAAGGTCATTTATTGTATGGAGGCCAAAACACAAGAACAAGGGTAAAGATAAACTAACTATGCTATGTAGGGGAAAGCCACAAGTGGAACTGGGAAAACATAAATAACATCGCAACTGTCTCAGGAGATATGGAAACAAGGGAAGAAGAATGGGGAATTTTTTTGTTGTTGTTGTTCAGTCATTTTGGTCTCTGACTCTCTGTGACCCCATTTGGGGTTTTCTTGGCAAAGATACTGGAGTGGTTTGCCATTTCCTTCTCCAGCTCATTTGACATGAGGAAAATTGAGAAAACAGGGTTAAGTGACTTGCCCAGGGTCACACAGCTAATGAGTGTCTGGGGCCACATCTGAACTCCAGGCCTGGCCCTCTATCCCCTGGGCCACAAGAGGAATGACTAGTTAGGTACAAAAAGTTAAAATTTCAAAATATTTCCTCAGCAAAAATGACAGAATCTTTTGACTGTGGATAGTGGGGGAAGGTCTTCTTTCTTACTTTACTTTCTTTGTACAGGGGAAAGCAATGTTAAGAAGCTATTACAGTAAGGAGTTTAGCAGTGATGGTGAAGATAACCCAGTGAAAACAACGATTCGAGGGCTTAGTCCTCCTGGGCACAAGACGACTTTAGGAATGCCTGGAAAAAGGGGAGGCTTTGCGTTGTTTAGCGATCTCTTCATCTGCTGAAAGAGGATCACACATTTAGAACAGGAAGGAGCCCTAGAGATCTCCTTCAATTCCCCAGGAAAACCAGACCCCCAGTGTTTAAGCGACTTGCCCAAATTCACACAAGTGAAATGGGGAGCAAGCAGAGAGAGCGAGGATTTAAACCCAGATCCTGTTTGCACTGTGCCACCCCATCCTTCCCGCTTCATTCTCAGGATGATTGGGCACATTTGGGTCTCACTACAAATCTTTTGAAAACTCATGGCCTCTAACCCCAGTAAGAACCAATGGTACCTTTTCATGGCTTAGGAACGGAAGGAGAGTGAAAAGAACACCAGGCTTTGAGGGCCGGAAAACTTGAGTTCCACCTGTGGCCGGGCGGCCCTGGACAGCTCGCTGCCCCCCTTTCATCAGGTGTGAATCTGCTCTCTCGGATGCTTTATTCTCTCCGCCTAACGGTGTTGATAAGCGGAAGGTTCTCCTCCCGCTCTCACAAACAGCCCAAATTGGCTCGGGCCAGCGCCGACCCCGACGTTTCCTGCAGCCTCGGGGCATCGCCTCTTTTCGGACCATTCGGCTCCAGTCTGGAACCCAGGGAGCATCACAAGGTTGAAGCTCAGCCCCAGGGCCGGGCGCCACCAACCTGTGTGACTGCCCCGAGAGCAGGTGCACGGACCGGGGCGGACCCCCGACCCACCCCCCAGGCCTCGTCGTGGCCTCCCTGACCACAGCGGACACGGACACAAGGTAACCTTGGGCCGGCGCGAGGGCGGTCCCCGAGCGGGAGACCCCGCGACCCCGCCAGGCCCCGGCGCGGACTCGAACGGACAGAGCGGGAAACTGAGGCTCGGGGCCCCTCCGTTCGGGCCTCGGGCCCAGGCGCCGGGCGGCCTGACCTCGGGGACGCGGACGCGGGGCCAGGGGGACGCGGCGGAGGCGCACGGAGCTGGGGGCGGGGCGGGGCCCTTTCTCGGCCTTCAAGGCCGACCCGCCCCCGCCCCCACAACCCCCCCACCCCCGGTCCGGGCGTGTGGTCCGAGGCACGACCCGAAGGGGGCGGGAGGGAGGCCCGGGCCGAGGCGGAGACTCCTCGGGGCCTTTCCCCCGCCCCCACCCGGCACGCCCGTCCGTGCAGGCCCCAGCCCCGGCCGACCCCGGCCTCGCCCCCGCCCCCGCCCCCCCGGCCTCTCCTTCCCGCCCCCCGGACCGGAGCCGCAAGCGGGGGAACGACGCCTCCTCACCTGCATCCATCTTCCCTCTTCACCCACCGACTAACCGGCGGCGTCGCTACCACAGGCACCGCGACGCGACGCGGCGTGACGTCACGCGGGGACGGGGCCAATCAGGATGCTGCCTCGTGCCCGGAGGCACGTGAGCAGGAAGGGCGAGGGGAAGGGGCGGGGTCGGCGAAGGGAAGGGGCGGGGTCGGGAAGGGAGCCTGACGAGGAAGTGGAGAGCATGGAGCGAGTGGAGGCACTACTGGGGGCCGCCATCTTGGCGTACGGAACTACGGCCGGGGGGGGGGGGGTAGAGTGCGCGGGTGGAGAGGCGTGGTCTTTACGTAGACAGATCGCAGCAGGTGGAAGGAAAGCGAGGGCTTCTGGACCACGCTGGGGAATGCGGGCACCTCAGTTCTTTTTCTCGCTCGGGTTTCTGGCATCTCCCCGAGAGAATATAAACTTTGTGAGAGCGAGGACCGTTCTTGCTTTTATCTCTGTATCTCCTGCACCTAGCTCTTAGCTGGTGCTTAATAAATACATACTGTCAAATAGGCCAGCGTTTTAAAGTGCCTACTATGCGTCTGACCTGGTGCTACAAGAAAAGGCAAAAACAGCACCGGCCCTCAAGGAGTTAACAGTCTAGTGCATGTTGGATTAGAAAGTTGGCACCTTGAGGGATGGACGGCTCTCTCTTTTTTTCATTTCCATTATTTAGAACAATCCCTCCCTCGTTGTTGTAGGCGCTTAATCGATGCTGGATAAGGTCGAAGCTACTTAGACTGGACCACTTAATGTTCCTCTCACAGAACTACCCGTGTCCTGCCTTCATGCCTTTGCCCTGGCCGGCGCCCCCACACCGGGAATGCATTACCTCCTAACCACCACCCCAGACTCCCTTCTCCAGAGGGCTTTCCTCATTCCTCCAGCTGCTAGTGTCTTCCTGTCTACGGTTCCGTGGTATTTACTTTGCATGTGCCTTGTACCTACATATGCACATGAGGAGAGGGGCACCGCTTAGCCTTGGCTTGAGGGCTGGCCTCTGAGCTGGGAAGACTCGGACTTTGAGCTGCCTGTAGCACAAACTGGCTGTGTCGGTCCTGGTTCACGGTAACTCGACCACTAAGAGCTCTAGGCAGCTGTCTGAGATTGCAAGCTGCAGTGAAGGTACCCACGGGCATGGGGCTGAGGGGAGGAGGTCGTGCCATCCAGCAGCTCCCATTGTGCACACATTGTGTGCCCCCCCCCCCCCCCCGTGAGAATGTGACCTCCTTGTGGGCAGGGATGGTTTTGGCTTGTTCTCTGTATCCCTAACACCTGGCACTTGGTAAATGCTTAATAAATGCTTATTGGCTAATTGACTATGCCTTGGTTCCCTAACCAGGGAAATGGAGTTAGCCCACAAGTTCTTAAAAGCTAGAGGGACCAACAAATCCCAATGTCTTCATTTGAAGATGAGGAAACAGAGCTTAAGTGCTCTCATGACATCTCCTACCCCAGCCCCCAAATGGTAAAGTCTCAATCCCTCTTGAAATGATTTTGTATTCTCTTGTACATACTATTTATTTCTCTCTATTATACCGTGCATGCCCAGGATGATGAAGTCTCCTGGAGATGAGGGACATCACCTGTTTGTCTTTGTATCCTGAGTACATCTCACGGTCTGGGGTTGGTAATAGATCCTTAATAGATATTTGTTCAATGTAGTTGAGGCTCACCTAGATTGCCCCTTGTAGCATGGTCCATTGAAAGAATGCTGCATTTGGGATTAGACAACTTGTGTATACTGGAGCAAGTCACTTCATATCCTGGAACCAATCCTCTTGTGCAAAATGCCAAGGCCGGTCTTTAACCAGAGCCCGAAAGAGCACTTATCAGGTATGTGATAGCCTGCTTTTTATAGATTTGTTGCCTTCCCCCCACCTCCTTAGATTATAAGCTCCTTAAGGGCAGGGGCAGTCTTTTGCCTCTTTTCGTGTCCTCAGCACTTAGCCCAGAGCCTGGCACCTACTAGGTGCTTAATAAATGTTTAATGAATGAGTGGGTGGATAGGTTGGACAAGATGACCACTGAGATTCCTTCTGACGCTTATGTGGTGCTGTGATGGTACGATAGGCCACCTGGGTACCTTACAGCTTTAGATAGTGATTTTTGACTGTAAATCAGTGCTCTCTACCCTCCAGTACAATGACTGCTAGAAGCATACTGGTGAGGGTGAGATCTGTTGTAAAACATGTCAACAATTTCATTCGTGGCGATTCATTAAGTGCTGACTCAGCACCAGGCACCGGGCTTGGGAACCACAAAGACTGAGACAAAAAGGAAAATCATTCTTGCACAGCACCACAACATACAGAACCTCATCCCCAGAGAGATCTGTGATCTCGTAGCTTCGTACCATCCCCTGGATGATGCAGGTCCCTAGCCACCTGCGCCTGTTCATCCCGTGTGACTCTCCTCCATGCCTTCCCTTACGTTCACCTCAGGGCTCTACCCAATGTGTTGGGGGGGGAGGGGAGGGGAGGAGCTTTCTCTTATTCTCCTACCAATTCAGCCAACTGCAGTGTCCATGAAAAGCTGAACCCTGAGCACCAACAATGGCTCCCCAAAATGAATGATGAAGCATACGTCCCTCTTGTCTAAGAGGCAGGGACCGCTAGGCATCCTCAGATGGGTTCTCTGTGTCATGGAGCTGTTTATTTTTCTTGGAGACAAAGGAGAGTTCAGCATGGGGTTGGGTGCACGTGCAGAAATGAAATGAGTATAGTGAGGATCCAAAGGTATCCACACAGTGCATTTAAAAGAAAATTACATTGTATTTGTTATGCATTCATGCTATTCCCCATCAGGGAGTCTCAAATTCTGAGGGTACTGGCTCAGGCTAGGCCTCAGATTTCTCGGGTGCAAGGGTTGGATTAGATGTCCTTTCGCTTTTATCTTTGCATCCCCAGAACCTGGCACGTAGTAGGTCCTTCCTCGATGCTGCTTGTTGATTGATTGATCAATGCCCCTGTTCCCTCCTGCTGTAGAGAAGCTGGCCAGGACTGGTTCGTTTGTGCCTCAGCATCTTCAGAGTCCAGCACGACGCCTGGCATCTAGTAGGTGCTTCATCGATGCCTGTTGTAGCGCAGAGCCTTCCAGCCGCAGGGGTTAATTGTTCGGGGCGGGGCGGGGCGGGGCGGGTTTCCGTAGAGGCGGCAGCCATCTTGTCGTACGGCACAGCGGAGGACAGGGGAGCCCGTAGGGGCCGGGCCCGCCCCGGCGGGCGGTGACAACAACGGAGGCGGCTTCGCCGGCCCCCGAAGCCTCTGAGAAGGGAAGCTGGGCTGCGGGGCCCCGCGCGGGTTCCGGGGCCCCGAGGCGGAGGAGCGCGAGCGGCGGCGGCCATGTTGGCGCGGGAGCGGGCGCCGCCATGTCTCCGTACGGCGGAGGCGGGAGGAAGCGGCGGGGGCGGGGCTGGCTCTCACGTCCCGCGCGCGCCTCAGCTTCGGGCCGGCGCGGGCGCGCGCGCGCTCGCTCGCTCGCTCGCTGGCTGCCTGGCCGCTCGCTCGCTCGCTCGCCGCCGGGGTCGGCTCCGGTGGTAGGTCCGTCAGTCCGTCCGTCGGCCAGCCCGCCGGGGCGGGGCGGGGCGGGGCAGGGGAGGCCGGGGCCGGGCCGGGGCGCCCGGAGATGGTGATCTGCTGCGCGGCGGTGAACTGCTCCAACCGGCAGGGCAAGGGCGAGAAGCGGGCCGTGAGCTTCCACAGGTAACCCCGGGCCGCCCGGGCCGGCCGACAGCCCGGGAAACTGAGGCCCCGGCGGGCGGGGGCGGGGGGCCGCCCTGCGTCACGCCCCGGACCCGGCTCCTCCGGCCGCAGCCCCGACCCGCCGGCCACACCTCCAAATTTGGCCCGGAGAGGCCGCGGACCAGGAGGAGGAGGAGGAGGAGGAGGAAGAGCGGGGGGAGGGGGACCTGCTGCAGGAGGGGCTCCGAGCCCCGTCCTCACCCCTCTTCGGGTCCTGGTCCCCGTCCCCAGCCGTGTCCTCACCCCCCATCCCCATCCCCAGCCGTGTCCTCACGCCCATTCACATCCCCATCCCAAGCGTGGCCCCGTCCTTCCCTGGTCCCCAGCCTCGTCCTCACCCCCATCCCCATCCTGGCCCGGGTCCCCATCCCCAGCCGTGTCCTCACCCCCATTCTCACCCCTCTCCCCATCCTGGCCCGGGTCCCCCCTCCCTAGTACTTGTGTCTTTCATCTTGCCAGTTTCAGCAGGGGCTCCCCCTTGGACCCCCTCCGAGACAAAGAATTCCGAGGCTGTTGGGCTTTCTTTTGAGCTTCTTTGGGTGCTGAGGTCCCTCCTGGGTGGCTGTTAAAACCTCCTGAAAGCCAGTGATAACTTCTGCTAATACAACCAAGTCATGGTGTCCCCCCAGCCCGCAGCAGCTCAGTGAAAGAAGCCCCACTACTGCCTTGCAGTCCTTTAGAAAAAAACAACAGCAACAACAAACTTTTGCGGCAAAATGCATTTTTTTGAGTCGTCTTCTGCTTCTCCCCCTCCCCATTTCCCCCCTCTCAATCAGGTTGTTCCTTTGTGTTCTCTGTGCTCCTTTCCCTGTGCGCGTTTGATTCCTCCAAGATCACATCTTGGTTTCTGTGATGAGGGAAACGGAGAGTGTATAAGCAGCACTTCCTGAATTCACACACCCTCCTCACTGAGGTGATTTTAATAGAGTGGCTTTAAAGAAACCTTTAGTGTGATGCTAAAGGTAGGCAGCCCGGGCATCTAGTTATGAAGGTGAGTAAATCAACTTCTGAAGTGCCTGAAATCCATAAGGAGAAGCATTAAACCCTGCAATGAAGCTGCCATTTTGACAGCATCTCGTGCCAAGTGATCCAGCTAGTCTGTAGTTCTCCTTAGGGGACGGACCACTGAAAGTCAGAGGGTCTCAGCACCCTTTTAATGTGAATTTCAGGAGCATTATAATTGATTTTCATTTAGAATGTTCATTTTAACCTATCTTAGGAGCAATTTGTTTCCAGTCTTCCCAGTTACATTTCCTGAGCTCTCCTGATCTTCTCCTGCTGGGAAGCGCCCTAAGGGCACGACCACGAAGAACTCTTGGGGCCTAGGGTTATAAGATTTTAGAGCCTAAAAGAGAGCCACACCAACCACCTCATTTTATAGATAAAGAAACGGAGGGCAGGAGAAATTGTGATTTACCCAAGGTCACACGAGTTATAAAAAGCAGAGCCGGAGTTTTGAACTGTGGAGTCTGTGACTCCAAATCCAAAGCTTTTCCCACGATACTGGGCTGACATATAACAACCATATGTGTATATACATGCACATATATGTATGTATGTGTATGTAATATATATGTTATATTTAGCTATTATCTTATGTTGTACAACAATGTTTATCTTAAATTTTAAGCTGCCGGGCTATCCGATGCCAGGGGCTTGTTAGCACTCTGCAGTATCTAGTGAAAATTCATCATGATTTAGTATGTTTCTTTTTCAAGGTCTTGTAGCCTGGTAGTGGCACACATTCCACTAGAACTTGTTACTTCTGCTGCGTTTCCTTTGGAACATCCTTAGAAAATGTACAGTCTGGTTCATTTTTGATATTGCAATTCTTTAACCCTGTTTGAATGGTTTTCAATGAGAAAACGAATTACTGAGCTTCACAAACACATTTTTCAGGCCAATGATATCAGTTCACTTTTTTTCTGAAAAAGAGGTCAGGACCCTGCAAATGGATTTTGAAAAATTCATAACTGTATTAGACCCCGAAAACTGTGGGGCTAGAAAAGACCTCAGAAGTCATCCCTGAAGCCCACGTGGGAGCCTGAGACCCAACGAACATTTTACTTTCTTGGCACTGAATTGCTTCTTACTTTGATACCTGATGGATCCTTGACTTCCACAATTCAGTTAATCCCTCCACCAATGGAGACCATCCTACACTCTCCGCCCCTGATCATCCTATTTGATTTCTACTCATATCCTTCCATAAATCCTCTCTAGATGATCTACCTAATTCCGTTCATTATGTGTTTGTTATGTGTTTATGGGCCAGACAAAAAGTTAGGTGCTAGGGAGTCGAAGACTAAAAATAACTTTTCTTGCCTTCACAGAGTTTAAATTTTAGTTGAATATAACTCAGTCAACTAGGGGCAGTAGGTGGCTCAGTGGATAAAAATCTGTGCCTGGAGTCAGGAAAATCTGGACTCAGATACTTACTAGCTGTGTGGCCCTGGACAAGTTTCTTAACCCTGTTTACCTCAGTTTCCCCATCTGTAAAATGAGCTGGAGAAAGAAATGGCAAACTGCTCCAGAATCTGTGCCATGAAAACCCCAAACGGGGTCACGGAGACACAATTGAACAATAGCCACTGAATGAATCAGCAAGCATTTATTGAGCACCTGCTGTGTGCTAGACACTAGGAGAGGTGCTGGAGCACCATGTTAGAGGCCTTCTTTCTCTTTCTGTTCTGTTTCATGTGTACCAGTGCAGTGGGTGGGCTGCCTGGTATGCCTCACTTACTCTAGGACTGGCCCAGCTCCTTTCCCAGCCATAGCCAGCATTGATAGAGTTTATGCTTCTTCATGTGACCCAGGAAACACATAAAATATTTATTTCCTTGTCATTCTAAAATATAATCCCAGTGCACATTCATCTTCAGCCATAAAAGCTTTCAATGGGTTGGATGGCATTTCTAATTTTGGCTGATGTCTCTCACCACTTTTTGCATGATGCCAGGCGTAGTGCCTGGCAATAGTAAGCACTTAATAAATGCTTGGTTATTTGTTGACTTTATGTTTGACCCTCGTTTAACCAATGCGTTCCCTTTAAACCCTAGTAGCTTGTAAACTCCTTGAGAACATGGTGGTATCCCTAGGACATAGTTCAGCACCTTCACCTGTTTCAGGAAGTTTATACCCCTAAGGATGTGGATCTTCCTTTTCTCCTTGTAGAATGCAGTCTGTCCGTGCTTTTCCATCCTCTGTGGTCCTGGTCCACATTTTTCCCCTGGAGGAATCTGCCCAGTATATTGGGGTTCTTCCTCTAGATCTTTTGCCATTTCATGGGCACCGTTGCCTTCTTCATTCTGTCTGTCTGTGATGGCCCCTTCTCTCCTTGGACAGTCGCCACCACCTTGGGGCAGGTCCCATTCCCTCAGGTGTCTCCCCACTCTGGTCCATTCCCTACTGGCTATCGAAGCGATCGTCCACAGGTCTGAGTCACGTGACCCTCCCTACCTCCCCTCTAATTTAATAAACTCCAGTGGTTTTCACTTGCCTCTCGGAGCAAATATAAAGTCCTATTTGGCTTTTAAATCCCTTCCTAACCTGGCCCCTTCCAACTTTTCCAATCATCTTGCACCTTTCTCCCTTCCACAAAGTCTGCCATCTGCTTTGCTGTTCCTTGTCCTATCTCCCAGTTGGAAGCATTTTCAATGGCTATTCCCCATGCCTGGAATGTCCTCTGTCCGTATCTTTGCTTCTGGCTTCCCTGGTTTCATTCTGTCTCCCCTAAAGTCTAACCTTCTAGGAGAAGCCTTTCCCAAACTCCCTAATGTTAATGCTTTCTCTCTGACATTACAACTAGCTCGAATAACAGATCCTGAGAATTGGTCACATTATTTGAATCTGCATTGCATTTTTCTATAGAGCTGGAACCAATGACCTTATTTTTCGTAATTATTGCATTAATTAGTTCAAATTCAAGTAAATGTAACCACTTCACCGGATTCATTTTCACGTTGATTCATTATTCGTACTAATCGAACATAGCTGCATCTCCTCTTGGTCCCGTCCTATCTTGTTTGTATGGAATTGTTTGTATGTCATCTCCCTTGTTAGACTATGAGCCCCTTGAGGGCAGGGTCTGTTTTTTGCCTTTCTTTGCATCTCTAGTGCTTAGCACAATGCTTGGCTCTTAGTAAGTGTTTAATAAATGCCCATTCATTTGATTTACTTACATGATCAGCCTACTTCCTTTTCAGAGCACTAATCTGAATTAAATTCTTTACATCATGTTTTGTGGCATGATTTAGGTCATCCTCAGAAATATGCTCTAGCCTGCTTAGTACTCACTATGTATTTCTTCATTACTCTTTATATCAAAAGTGTTCTGATTTTTGGGAAATTCTGGTCTTCTAAGATTTACAGGTGTGATTACCACCAAGAAAACATTCACGTAAAAAATTGGCTTGGGAGCTAAAACACTGTGCCGTCCAGTGTGCTGTCCTCCTCCCATTCCTATTTGACCCCACCTTGTCCATCTCACGTCCCAGCTTTGTATATTCCTAGACCAATTCAAAGGACTGGCTTTCCAGTTGCATATCATAGTCTGAACCAGGGGTGGGGAGCCTGTGGCCTCGAGGCCACATAATGGCCCCTTAGGTCCTCAAGTGTGGCCCTTTGACTGAGTCCAAACTTCACAGAACAAATCCTCTTAATAAAAGGATTTGTGCTGTCAAACTTGGACTCAGTCAAAGGGCCACACTTGAGGACCTAGAGGGCCACATGTGGCCTCGAGGACCCAGGTTCCCCCAGCCCTGGCTTGGACAAAGGGGAACTCTCATCAATTTAATTTTTCCGTTCCAGATTATTAGGCTGATTTGAATAATCAGGGGTCCTGTTTGAAGGGTTCTATAACGTTTTGGTGCTTGATGCAGTTAGAACACTATTACCTGTAAATGAGGTGCCCTGGAAAGCTCTCTTAATCCAATCTAGAGGGAAACCCTCTTCTCTTTGCAGGATATCTATCTTCCAGGATGGTAATCAACAACTCTGATGAGCCTCAGTCTGTTACATGCCAGGCTTGATGGTACCAGGATTATCCAACAACAGACAAACAATATTTGTTGAATTGTTGAGGTGATTGCTAGGATGTCAAAGCCACGCTACCCCGTAACGCCAAAGGAAGAGATACAGCTTGTCATTGTTAGCATCAGTCGACCTGGAAACTGGAAGAAAATGTTGTTTCAGCTTAGTAAAGACTTAGAGCTTATGAAAAACCATCCTTTCGTTTTTAATCATCGAATTTTTTGTTTCTTCAATGACTGCAAGAAGTTTTTACTTATTACTTTAATTGTCTTACAGGTTCCCCCTTAAGGATTCAAAACGCCTGATCCAGTGGCTGAAAGCAGTTCAGAGGGATAACTGGACCCCCACCAAGTATTCCTTCCTCTGCAGTGAGCATTTCACCAAAGATAGCTTCTCGAAGAGGCTGGAGGACCAGCACCGACTTCTCAAACCCACAGCTGTGCCATCCATCTTTCACTTGGCAGAGAAGAAAAAAAGTGCTCGAGGTCATGTCCGAAGTAGGAGGAAGGAGGCTGGCCAGCCTCCCGGGGATGTGAGGGAACCCCAGGAGGAGGCGGCGTGTGAAGTTATCGAACGTTCACTGTCTGCGGATGAAGAGCCGATGGTAAAAGAAGAGGTTGGAAACATGGAACGAGCAGCAAGCCCGTCTGAGCAGGGGGTGGAGAGGCCCACCCCGATGGAAGGGGCTCCGGGGAGGACTTCTGCTGACAGTTTGGCCATTGAGCCCAGTGCCCCGAGAAAGCCGGAGAGACCTGCTCTGGGGGGCTGCGCTGAACCCAGTGCCCAAGCTGGGGCTTGGAATACAGACAAGAGCGGCATCTCCATTGATGACTTTACTCCTCTGGGATCAGGGGCGTGCAAATTTATTGGCTCCCTCCACTCGTACAGCTTCTCCTCTCGGCACACTCGAGAGAGGCCCTCCCTTCCAAAAGAGCAGCTGGACAGGAAAAGACTCAAGAGAGACGTGGAGCCGGGCTGCAGCCGCAGCAGCGTGGTGCCCGGCACGTGCTTGGCGGAGAGCGCCCCGACTTCCTCGTTGACCGCTACGCCTCAGAAGCCTTCCCAGAGCTCATCGGCGCCTCCGCCGGACGTCACTCCGAAGCCCGCCACGGAAGCCGTGCTCGGTCAGAAGGGAGACACGGACGCCAACCCCATGTCCATTAACGAGGTCATCATGTCGGCGTCGGGGGCGTGCAAGCTCATCGACTCCCTCCATTCCTACTGCTTCTCCTCTCGGCCCAGCAAGAGCCAGGTGTGCTGCCTGCGGGAACAGGTGGAGAAGAAGAACGGCGAGTTGAAGCTGCTGAGGCAGAGGATTAGCCGCTCGGACAACCAAGTGAAGAAGCTGCGGGAGAAGCTGGAGGAGGTCAGGAGACTCACGCTCCCCTACTTGAATGGCCTTTTGGCCCCGGACTGTGGTCAGTATTCCGCCGTCCCTCGGAGCTTTGGAAGTGGGCGTTGCCTAAGGTTCTTTCTTTGGAGGGCTTGTCCTTGTCAGAGGAGGGTTTCTTCCGTATTCTCAGATCTGGAGTTTTAAGTGGTTTCAAGGCCTGGTGACTGTCAGAAATTAATGTGGTTGTATCTAAAAGGCATTTCCAAACTTAAACCATTTCAAGATCACCATTTTTATTTCATTTTGTTTTTGCTAGGCAATACAGTTAAGTGACTTGCCCAGGGTCACACCGCTAGTAAGCGTCAAGTGTCTGAGGTTGGATCTGAACTCAGGTCCTCTTGACTCCAGGACTGGTGCTCTGTCTACTGTGCTACCTGGCTGCCCCAAGATCACCATTTTAAAAGTATGCTTATTACATGCACAAAGCAGGGGCAGCTAGGTGGTGCACTGGATAGAGCTCCAGCCTTGGAGTCAGGAGGACCTGAGTTCAAATCTGGTCTTTGACACTTGATACTTACTAGCCATGTGACCCTGGGCAAGTCACTTAACCTCTTTGCCTAGTGCCCCCCCCCCCCCAAAAAAAAACCATGCAGAAAGCCATGCAAGTGAATTAAAAATTCATTTAAACGATGAATTTATGATTCGTTTAAGCTAAAATTCTACCAGGACATCTTGGGTTCTGCTAATGGGGACGTACTTGACCAAAAAAGTGGGAACTGCTGACGTAATTCCCCAGTAAGCTGCTGTTCTGTTGAATCAGGAACAGCGTTGGCTTTCAGCATGAGAACCTTTTGGGGGAAATAGATTGCATCTCTGTCTGTCAGGTTGATTCATTTCTGGGTGCCCTTCACAGAAATGCTACAGCAGAGGATCAGGAGCAGGGCAGGGCCTAATGTGGCTTTGTAGCTATCATTTGGAGGGAATTCCTTTCCCTTCTTTTAAAGGGAAGGCTATTTCGTTGCATGAGGACAGTCAGTTCTCCAGTGTGAGACAATGACTCCGTTTTGTTCTTGGACAAAAGACCATTGGGTTTGTACGTCTGGGGAAGAGGCTGCAGTTGGGTTGCAGATGCTCTTTTCATTGACTGGCCAGTAAATCATTGGGTTCTTTGTTTAATTGAACAAAATCACTGTCAGTCACTTTTATACTAAGGCTTCTAAATACTTTCCATTTTCTGATCTCGCAAGTCATCTGTGCTCACTATACAATCACGGTGGGTATGGATAGAGGGGAAGTTGAGAATCTAGTGTAAGCATTAGCTTCTTAATATAACAAGTGAAAGCCTAAAATAAAAAACCCCCAAGTTCTGAGTAGGGAAAGGAAAATCCCCTTTGCTGCTGACATTCATGTTCATGTGAGCACTGTAAGGGATCTCAGGAGTCCAGGCCAGCCCAGCCTGCCCCAACATTCCTTCAGCTCTGGCATGTGCTGCGTGCAAGGCACCGCAGAAGCCCCCAGACTTAGACAAGGTAGAATGCCTGCCCTTATGGAACTTCACATTTAGGAGTGTGGGCATAAGACAAAGTCCAAAACAGCTAATTCTGATGGATCACCTGATATGATAAAGCCTGTATTTGCACCACATACATCTATGGAGTCTGAGGAGACTGTACCTGCGAATCAGGCAAGGCTTCCAGGAGGAAGTGGCACGTGAATTGGGCTTGAAAAGATGGAGATGGATCAGTGGGTAAAGAAGCCAAGATGGCATCGTAGGCCTGGGATAGTGTGAGCCATGATGCAGGGGCAGAAAGGAGATCCTTTTTGCTGAATCATAGTGGGTGAGAATAAGATATGAGGCTGAAGAAATCAGGAGGGCTTTGCCAGGAGGAGTGTGAACTTTACTTGGAGGGCCATAAAGAGCCACGGAAGCCTTTTAGGCACTGGGGTGACATGACCTGGCTCTGTGCGGGAGCGTAATGATTCTGGCAGCAGGCTGAAGGGCAGAATGGAGGGAGTGCAGAGTGGAAGCAGGAGGAACTTGTGTGAGCTTAGTGGAATGAGGCAGCTCGGTGGCACTGAGGGTCTGCACGAGGGCGGTAGCAGCCGTGTGGAGGCTGGTGAGATCCGTGGGTCCTAGACGCAGAGCTGGCCAAGACCGAGGAGATCTTCTCATCCGGTTCCTCAGTTGGCAGAGGAGACACATGCGCCAGGTCACATAGGGAGTGAGCATCAGGCAGGACTCATAAGGAAGGAAGGTCCCTCTGGTCCCTGGTCCCTCTGACTCCAGAGCCAGGGGCCACAGTCTCCCCTTGCTCGGGCTTGGAAAGGTCAGAGGGCTGGAGACTGAAGGAAGCCTCTGGAATTCGTAATAAGGAACTAATAGGTGAGTTTATAGTGGCTTCAGGAGAACAGAGAAGGCAGAGGAAGCCTGAGAGTGAGGAAGGAGAGGCATCCATCCAGACCGGCGCTTCTTGAACTGTGGGTCGCGACCCCATATGAGGTTGTGAAAAATTTGGCAACAAATTAAAGGTTTCTGAACCTGCAACAACCAAAAATTAATTAAAAATCAAACATGTAACAAATCCAAGGTGTTTCTGGCAGCGCTTGCCCATGCTGCCTCCTGACTTCACCGCAGCCCTAGTTCTGAACACAAAGCATGTGCCCTCTGCACCGTGCATGCCCTCAGGCCACACAATGCCTGAGGAATTCTGCTTAGGTGAAAAGGGGTCAGAAGTGGGAAAAGTGTAAGAAGCCCTGGTCTAAACAACTCCTGAGAAACTCCACAGTGACAGGAAGTGAGAGAGCGACGAGACCAGCTGCATGGAGCAGAAGGGGTTAAGGGATTTGGGGGGTTTGAGTTTTGTGTTTTTGTGGGTGGATGGGGCAGAACCGGTGGAGAGGAGCGTGGGCAGTAGCGCGATTGCTGGAGAATGAAGGAGAGGCGATGGGATCCAGGATTCAGGCTGAGGGATTTACCCCTGGGGGAGTGGCACTGTTCACCTTCCTTCCCTATGAGCAGAAGGCAGAAGGCAGAAGGCAGAGGCGGGCGGCGCTGGCTAGTGACTGATGATGCTCTTTTGACGAATGGTGTAAGGGGGGAGGGGCGGGCAGAAGGCTGATGGAGCCACCATGATACGGTTTCAGTGAAGCCAGGGTCTTTGTTTTAAGAGGATGGTGGAGTTAAGTTTAGGGGGGGAGAAGAATGTTGTAGATACAGCATATTTAAGATTCAGCAAAGGATTTGACCTATCCTCTTGCGCTTCCCGTGTGGACAAGATGGACCGAGGTGCCGTGGGTCCTAGTACAGTTAGCTATGTTCAGAACAGGTAGAAAGACTGGACCCCAAAAGCAGCTGTTAATAGGATGATGTCCACTTGGCAGGAAGTTTCTATTAGAGCATCCCAGGAATCTGTCATTGGCCCTCTGCTGGCTAATGTTTTTATTCATGATCTGAATGAAGATGTCCTTGTCAAGTTTGCAGATCAGATAAAGCCAGAACGAATAGATGGGATATGGGATGACAGTATCCAAAAACATCTTAATGGGCTAAACCTGATTGGATGAAATGTTATGGAGATAAATGTAAAGTTCTACCTTTGGGTTCAAAAAATTAATCTCACAGGTACAGAATGGGGGAGGTGAGTGACTTTGAGAATGATCTGGGGGTTGGTGGCCTGTAGGTTCAGTGTGAGTATGACATGGTAGCCTGATAAGCTACTGCATCATTAAACATGGCATAGGGTCTGGATCTAGAAAGAGGCAGCTAAGAATTGGCTTGGTCTTTGCTGCATTGAAGGGATTGTGTTTGGCTCTTAATGCTGCATTTTGGGAACCATACAGACAAGCAGCAGGGTGACCAATATGGACATCGTGCCGTGTGAAGGACCTGGAGATCTTTGCTTAGAGAAGATATGGTGGGATGGGAGGGACATGAAAGGCCACAAGTGGAAGGGGATGCCCTCATTCTGCTCGGACAGACCTGGGAACAGAAGGTTGAAGTCAAAGAGAAGCCTTTTGAACCAAGGGCTGCCTTCAGCTTCTTTCAGTGTCCCGGGGTGAGGGTAGGGGTGATGTACCAGTGAAGGGCCCACTTCCTTCTCAGACACCATATGTCGTAGATGAGATATAAATGTGTGTATATATATATATATATATATATATATATATATAGGCCTTTTATGCCACTTACAATCCCAGGTATTTGTTAGTCATCAGAGCAGCTTTCCAAGACTAGAAGTGGTAGACAAGGGACCTATCTGCAGGTTGAGGATTGACTCTCTACTCTGATGAGATCACAGGCTTGGATTTCTTTAAGTGCCTATTCCCGTTCTGCATTGTTTTGTGGTTACTTGTGATTTGGTTCTTATGAGACAGTATATTCTATGGCCCCCTATGAGATTATGACATTACATGCACCACAATTATTGGGACAATATTGGTTTTAAAGTTGAATTTCTGTAGCTGTGAGCAGTTTGAGGTGGTTGCATATGCTGTAGTTTCCCAAACACTATATCCTGATCTCCTGACAGTCATTTCTGGATCCAGCTCATTGTCCAAATTGACCGACAGTCTATCTACCTAGCTCTCTCTCCTCTCTCCCTCCAATCATCCATCCATCCATCCATCCATCCATCTGTCCATTCATTGCTGGGTATCCATGTATGTATGTGTGTGTATCTATGTGTGTACACATGTGTGTGGTATATTTGCATACGCACACACATACATTAGATGTGTCTTAGCCCGGCCAAATTACAGGTTGTGTCCAAGAGCTTGACGGGTCTTGATGGACAAACTGAACCAGCTGCCGGTGTCTGGAGACTATCCATTTTACTTACACTTGGTTTTCTAGATTGATAAGTAAATGCTGCTAGATTGACTGGTTTTGGTCACTGTAGTAGAATGTTCCAAGTACAGATGCTGAAGAACCAGTCAGATCGATTTGCAATCCTAGGATATTAACGCAGGAAGATGGCTACCCAACTTTTGAGGAAAATTTCTTGTACTTCATAAATTCTTAGAATGTGACAAGAATGAGATTTTCACAAGTTTTCCAGTTAATGCTTACCAGCATTCAAAATGAAT